AACTTTTCCCGTAATTGACGAATTACGGATCGGCATGCAGATTCCGGACCCTTTCAAATCGCCTCAAAATCGGCATGTAGACCAAACAGGACACGCTGATCACGAATCCGAAGTCCGTTCCGCGGCACATATGAAACTTTTCCCGTAATTGACGAATTACGGATCTGCATGCAGATTCCGGACCCTTTCAAATCGCCTCAAAATTGGCATGTAGACCAAACAGGACAGGCTGATCACGAATCCGAAGTCCGTTCCGAGGCACATATGAAACTTTTCCCGTAATTGGCGAATTACGGATCGGCATGCAGATTCCGGACCCTTTCAAATCGCCTCAAAATCGGCATGTAGACCAAACAGGACACGCTGATCACGAATCCGAAGTCCGTTCCGAGGCACATATGAAACTTTTCCCGTAATTGACGAATTACGGATCGGCATGCAGATTCCGGACCCTTTCAAATCGCCTCAAAATCGGCATGTAGACCAAACAGGACACGCTGATCACGAATCCGAAGTCCGTTCCGCGGCACATATGAAACTTTTCCCGTAATTGACGAATTACGGATCGGCATGCAGATTCCGGACCCTTTCAAATCGCCTCAAAATCGGCATGTAGACCAAACAGGACACGCTGATCACGAATCCGAAGTCCGTTCCGCGGCACATATGAAACTTTTCCCGTAATTGACGAATTACGGATCTGCATGCAGATTCCGGACCCTTTCAAATCGCCTCAAAATTGGCATGTAGACCAAACAGGACAGGCTGATCACGAATCCGAAGTCCGTTCCGAGGCACATATGAAACTTTTCCCGTAATTGACGAATTACGGATCGGCATGCAGATTCCGGACCCTTTCAAATCGCCTCAAAATCGGCATGTAGACCAAACAGGACACGCTGATCACGAATCCGAAGTCCGTTCCGCGGCACATATGAAACTTTTCCCGTAATTGACGAATTACGGATCGGCATGCAGATTCCGGACCCTTTCAAATCGCCTCAAAATCGGCATGTAGACCAAACAGGACACGCTGATCACGAATCCGAAGTCCGTTCCGCGGCACATATGAAACTTTTCCCGTAATTGACGAATTACGGATCTGCATGCAGATTCCGGACCCTTTCAAATCGCCTCAAAATTGGCATGTAGACCAAACAGGACAGGCTGATCACGAATCCGAAGTCCGTTCCGAGGCACATATGAAACTTTTCCCGTAATTGACGAATTACGGATCGGCATGCAGATTCCGGACCCTTTCAAATCGCCTCAAAATCGGCATGTAGACCAAACAGGACACGCTGATCACGAATCCGAAGTCCGTTCCGAGGCACATATGAAACTTTTCCCGTAATTGACGAATTACGGATCGGCATGCAGATTCCGGACCCTTTCAAATCGCCTCAAAATCGGCATGTAGACCAAACAGGACACGCTGATCACGAATCCGAAGTCCGTTCCGCGGCACATATGAAACTTTTCCCGTAATTGACGAATTACGGATCTGCATGCAGATTCCGGACCCTTTCAAATCGCCTCAAAATTGGCATGTAGACCAAACAGGACACGCTGATCACGAATCCGAAGTCTGCATGCAGTGCATGAAAATCTGCATGCAGATCCGTAATTCGTCAATTACGGGAAAAGTTTCATATGTGCCGCGGAACGGACTTCGGATTCGTGATCATCGTGTCCTGTTTGGTCTACATGCCGATTTTGAGGCGATTTGAAAGGGTCCGGAATCTGCATGCCGATCCGTAATTCGTCAATTACGGGAAAAGTTTCATATGTGCCTCGGAACGGACTTCGGATTCGTGATCAGCCTGTCCTGTTTGGTCTACATGCCAATTTTGAGGCGATTTGAAAGGGTCCGGAATCTGCATGCAGATCCGTAATTCGTCAATTACGGGAAAAGTTTCATATGTGCCGCGGAACGGACTTCGGATTCGTGATCAGCGTGTCCTGTTTGGTCTACATGCCGATTTTGAGGCGATTTGAAAGGGTCCGGAATCTGCATGCCGATCCGTAATTCGTCAATTACGGGAAAAGTTTCATATGTGCCTCGGAACGGACTTCGGATTCGTGATCAGCCTGTCCTGTTTGGTCTACATGCCAATTTTGAGGCGATTTGAAAGGGTGCGGAATCTGCATGCAGATCCGTAATTCGTCAATTACGGGAAAAGTTTCATATGTGCCGCGGAACGGACTTCGGATTCGTGATCATCGTGTCCTGTTTGGTCTACATGCCGATTTTGAGGCGATTTGAAAGGGTCCGGAATCTGCATGCCGATCCGTAATTCGTCAATTACGGGAAAAGTTTCATATGTGCCGCGGAACGGACTTCGGATTCGTGATCAGCGTGTCCTGTTTGGTCTACATGCCGATTTTGAGGCGATTTGAAAGGGTCCGGAATCTGCATGTACGAGATTGATATCAATCTGCATGCAATTATACGAACGTCGGCCGCGGCCTACAAAGACGTCGCAGCGGGTCGCGGCTGGCGCCCTTTTCGCCGGCGGCGCGCGCTTTTTGCCGCGCGCGGCGCGCTGCATAGTTGACCTGGTGATTTGTGGGTCCGGCCGCGCGGCGCGGCGGGCGCTGCTGATAAATCGCCGCATTGCGCCGCTGGACGCGGCACCCCGCTCCCCGCGTCCTCAGCACTGCTCTCCCGACGAGTCTGGGGCCGAGACTGCGGAGGCAAAAGGTGTCAGAATTCAGAAATGACTGAGAGAGGTGCGCGCAATGTATGTACATCTCAGCTCAGCAAAACTGATCGGAATTGGGCTCGACCTCGGGGGCGGTGCTACTTCATCTCAAAGCAAAGGCTCCCTATAGGGAAACGGTTTTATGCATCCATGATTCAATAAACCGTTTTTATTGACCTATGCATGCAGTTTTGCCTCTAACTTACGTTATGTGCCTTTTTAGTTTTTACTCGATGGTCAAATAACTAATTAGGTAAATGTATTTGCTTAAATAAAAACCGGGTTGCCATGAGTGCTTGCCACGCTTCCATGTCTTTGAGGGCCTTGAAAAGCTGAGGGTGAGGCACATGTGGTATGATTGAGGTCGGAGAATATGCGGGTCGATAGCTGTGTAGATGTCTCGCTCGCCTCTACCTCCTCTTGAGTCTTGCACGTGTTTTCCGCTTAGACTTTAGTGGTGTTAGTGTACCCAACTGCCTATATACCTCTGGAGAAGTTATCTTGATAAGGTAAATAATGGAGCATGTTTGTTGTTAATTTTGTTACCTGCTTGTTTATGGTCCTGAATTATCCAAATTCCAACGCAGAACTTATGCTGCACTCGTAAAGCATTTAAAGGGAACATTTAATATAGAACGCGGAGGCAATGAGCGTAACTGACTAGTATGCTTTGAAGCTGTCATCTAATGAAATTCTGTGGTCAAACTCAAGATTTTTCTTTTACATTTGGCCACTCTTGTCTTAGGTACGTCGATTGTGAAAATGAGGTTCCTTCCTAACTTTTTTGTTTCGTTGCTCACTGGGGGCAAGCTCTTTCGGCCTGAAGAGGCCATTGCAGAGCTAGATATGGGCTAAGATAGGGCATAGACAGTGAACTCTGCAGCACACCACCGACGGTGCGCCGTTATAGTGACAGAGACCGTTCCGGTAGGACGGGAATGTGCCGATGGGACAGCCCGCCCTGCCGCTGAAACGGTCGGCGGGTCACCCCAGAGAGGATGTAGCTTAGGCGAGGACATACCCTCACCATCGGTAGTCTGCTGAGCGTGACCGCCAGCCCAGAAATGGCAGTGAGAGGGAGGGTACGGATGTGTTAACCCTGAGGACGCAAGGACGGATGAATTTAACCAAAGATTAACTCTGACCTGTGTTTCAAGCTTATTTATTTGGCACGCCTGTTCACAAGCTAGGCGTCTCCGAATCTGTCATAGATGACAGATGAAAGACTTAGGACAGAGTTTTCTTAAGAAAAACAGACAAAATGTGTACAATCCGTACCTGCCATTCAATGGAGCTGAATTGAAATAGAATGAAAAGGCCGAAGGGACCACGGATGGTCACCGTCTTATTTTTTATATATCTACGGTCTCATTTTTTATGCTGTCGGAGTCGGAGTTGATTTTTTGAAGCAGAAGTCGTTTCGGAGTTGGAAACACCAAAAATCCATTGACTCTGCAGCCCTGATTGTATAAGTCGTGGGGCTGGCTGCTAATGCCTAAGACATAGTGGATATTGGGAGTAGAGAATAATCGACCCATTCTCGCCTGTTCAGGACGCAACCACCAGGTGGCAGGAGCCGTATTTTTGTTCTGTAGGTGGCGCTCTGATGCAAACCACTGGGCACTGGACAGAGCTGTCGTCGCTGTCGACACCGACCGACTCCTCTGACTCAAGCTCCGACTCTGGGGCCCTGGCATGTCAGTGGAGTCGATGTGTTTTCAGTAACTCTGACTCAGACTCCCACTACAGCTTCCAAAATCGACTCCAACGCCGCCTCCGGTCCAGGTCGGGACTGCTCAGTCCAGTGCTCACTCCGACCGACTCCAACAAAGGCTTCGACTCCGAGCTATTGTCTCCTCTCCCCCTAAAAAACCCTAGCTCGATCAATGAACATTCAATATGTTGATCCTTATCACCGTTCCAATAGTTACTCGCTGACTTATCAATGGGCAAAATGGTTAACTTATGATTAAATTGTTCAGTTTGTTTTATGGAGCTCAGCTGACTCGTTGTCACTGGGTTCTTTGTTTATGTTTTGGGTCAGTTTCAGTTGTTGTCGGTGCCTAGCCCGTCCAATCCCGTCGTTTTCTGCTCAGATATAACGTTAAACGTTATAACATTACGTGCATATTTATAAAGTTTAATTTAGTGGCATAAGACCAAGCATAAGACTAGAACCAAAAATCCTCTACGTACTACTTTCACTTTTCATGTGCTACCAAATCATACCTGATACATTTACGGCGTGCATTATCATCAGCTGCCTAATGTGGCGCACCACCCAATACAAAACAAGTGATGCTGAATGGTGAAGTTGCGTAAAATCGATAGTTGCATTCGGGTGCGAGGCGGTTGAAAAATGTGGTGGATTTTAGGTCATAGTCTGTGAATTATTTCTCAGTGATGTTAATTATTTAGGCGTGACATTAAGTTATTGAAATGGAGCAAGAAACTGTGTACGACTCGAACGAAGACTCGCACGTAGTCATGTGCGAGAAAGTCCAATCCCTAGCAGGGAGTGTTTACCAAGAACTGGAACGTATGATTGCAAAATATGATGAAGATGTGGTAAAAAATCTTATGCCACTAGTGGTCAACATTTTGGAAAGTCTTGATTTCGCTTATACTGAAAACCAAGAGCATGAAGTTGAGCTGGAGCTCCTTCGTGAGGACAATGAACAATTAGTTACACAGTATGAACGAGAAAAGCAGCTTCGGAGAGCATCAGAACAGGTAATATGAAGTCGCATTAATGTGCGGGATGTGACGAGCATTCTTGCAGTTTCAGCTTTACAGCTTACAGCCTAACGTGGAGACTCTGATCATGCTAGATCAGTTCATTGAAAAGTATCTTGACTGGGTCATATTCACAGTCCATATTCCATCGAGTCATTCTGATGTGCTGCTTCTTATGACATTTTTTACTGCTGTCATGATGACATTTGTGTGACCTTTGATTTGCTTGTAATGCCAAAATTGTATTTTTCAGAAACTGTTTGAGCTTGAAGATCACAATGAAGAACAGGTCAAACAGTCTGTTTCCAAAATCGAAAGCCTGGAGTCCATTGTGCGAATGTTTGAACTGAAGACCAGGAATGCTTCTGACCATGGTAAGCATTGGTTTAACAGCTTGTGCAAATTTTTGTGTATCTTTTTCATGTGTGATTCATTATATTACATAGTAATAGGTGGTATCAAAATTTATAAATGCCTACCAGTGAGCTTGTCTACCCTATCCCTGCCATCCTCTGATGTGTCTCGCCCATCTGAGTAACCACTGACGCAATGTCTCGCCTATCTGAGTGACTGCTTAGTGCTTATGCCATGTCCCGCCTTTCTGAGTAACTGCCGATGCCAATTCGCGCCTATCTGAGTAAACGGTGGCACCATGTATTTCCTACCTGATGCAGTGTCTGGCCCGTCCGTGTAATGGCTGACACTCTGTCCCGTGCGTCTGAGTAGTCACTGACGCTGTGTCCCTCTCGCTGGCGGCGTGTTCCACCCGTCTGGGTAACTGCTGACTATGCCTCGCCCATCCGTCCTCAGTGGCCCGACTGGAGGAGAAGGAGGACACGATGCGAAAGGAGTACGCCAAGCTGCACGACCGCTACACAGAGCTCTTCAAGACGCACATGGACTACATGGAGCGCACCAAGATCCTGCTCGGCACCGACCGTCTCGACCAGCTCAGCATGCTGCGGCCGAAGGCGCCGCTGGGCGGCCTGCAGAACAACTCCATGACCAGGTGGGCGCGCGGCCGACGGCCAAGTGCTATGGCTTCGCCAGTAACTAGTTACCATATGTAGGCTGTGTTTGTTTTGTTTTACAGATATAGGCGAGCGAGAGTGTAGAGATCGGTGGTTTATCGTACTCTGAGATTATCGGCATAAAATTTTGATTTGGTTTACATGATTGTAAGTGCCAGTGAGGAAAGAGAATTAATCTGAAATAATGTTATTGTCTCCCTGGTAGAAGAGGCATTGCATACAGTTTTGCGATGATAATGGATTTGCTGGTCGGATCCGACATTGCTTCTCGAAACTCACTAGGTGAAGCAACGCATTTTTTAGACCTCACAAATGCATCTCGGAAGAATTTTGATGTGTCGCATAAGTGCTGCACATCTTAGAAAATCAACAGCAACTCGATTAAACGAAGCCGTTCTGGCTCTAAACGGAAACACCTTGGAGCACCTTTGCGTCATTTCGGCGGCGGGGTGTGGCATTTCGTGTCGGCCGTCGCGCCGACTGCTCCGTCCGACTGTTACGCTCGGGCGCCGGGATATTTGTGCAGCTGTGTGGGCCGGGCGACAGTCGACGTGATTCACCCTGTCTGTCGGACAGACGGGGTATCGCGCCGCGCTCGGCTCACGACGGACTGATCAGAGACCGGGCGCGGCCAGTGGGCGGGTCGGACCACCGACGGGCCCCGCCCCTTCCCCTCCCCCGCCCCTGCCCCTCTCCCCTCACCCCCAACCCGTGCCGGCCACGATAGCTGACTTGGTAGTGTACCGGGTGACTCCTTAATCCGTTGCTGAGTCTGTGATTGGGTGCGGCGGCTGCGACCGCCGCGGACCTTAGCAGATGGTAATCGGTCCAGGATAGAGAGCTCGGGGCGCAGTGGACTGTAGACAGCAGTGCAGATGGCGCGGAACGCCGGTACTGCCGTGGTTTGGGGAGTTGCATATGAGGATTAGAACGTTTTAACGTTACTGGGATGTGGGAAAGGATAATCATACGTTCCAATGTTATATCTTAAGCTACCGAACCGAAGTATATCACTGTTGATGGAGGGATCAGTTTGTGCAGCGTTTGTGGAACACTCGACACTCAGGTGTTACCAAGCAGAGGTGGGGAACGGGAACGAACCCCTTGTGTATCATTCACTCTGACTCAAGTCCTCGACTCCGAGAGTCTGCTGGCTTATCGGAACATTATTGTCTGACACTGATTACCAGCAACTTTGTCGGTGTATCTGTGACTTGACGGAGTTCGGCTCTGTGAGATCAAGCACTAGCCACTCCACCACCCACCCTCCCTGGCTGCCGTGATCCCACCCCTCCCTCCCACGCACCAAACCGTCCGCCTCCCGGCGTGGGGCGTGCCGGCAGCAGCCGGCCGCGCGCGGACTACCATTGATTTTGTGGCCAGACCGCCGGCGGCAGTATGACCTGCCCGGCCCGCCCACTGGCTGTGACACGGAATGACACGTGACACCTGGGTTCGGGGGGCGGGGGGTGCGGTCGGCACGAGAGCGTACCGCCACAGATCAGAGGTGGACTCTGGATGGCTCCGCTATCGGTTATGGCACGCTGTAACCTAAGCGGCGTGAACCGACAGAATTATCAGGTTACGAGCTTTGAACGATAATATCTATCTACTTTGTACTTTGTTTTGTGCCGTTGAACTGTCGCCTTATATTGATGGTCTATCCTCGCATCCTGGTCGGTCGTCGTCCTTTCACAACAGGATAACTGGATTACGGTTCAATTTGCTGAGTGCCGTTACGGATTGGGACGCGTCCCACGCACGCGGAGCCGCCAGCATCCAGGTCAGGTGCGCCGATGCGCCTCTCATCGTTTCGTAGTCGGTTAAGCTGGTGGACGGAGTGGTGGTCAGATGTTGGGTCCATTGTTGATGTTACATTGTTTCAGCATCGTCCTGGTTTCTCTTCTTTCGAACGATCCCAGCACCGTCCCTGTTTTGTCTTTTTTATATTGTACATAGACGTTGGACAACTCTAGCCAAACGCGAAAATGAAGGAAAGCGATGGACCCAACAGTGCTTTTTTAAATGGTTAAAAGAGAGCACAATTGAAAGAGTCAAGCATGAACAGAAATGCGGTTTTGTGTACAATGAAGTATGGTTCATCGAGTAAGGCATCTGTTTGTGGGTCTGGTCCCGTTTGGAGGATCCTTTCGGTCGTGCTATCTATCGAATGTCGTTTGTTTATGAGAGCGCTGATTTTTTACCGTCCTGCCTCCGTCGCCGGCTCGAGTGATTATTTTAACTGGATAACCTTACAGATGTATATCGATGGCGGCTCAGTGAGTCTGTGTCGCATTATGCGGTTACTTTACTACCTAATTTTCCTATTTATTTCATCACCTCCCGAAGAGCCTTGAGCTATACATGGGTCGTATTTCAATATATCGCCATATCTAATCAGTCACGACATCTTATGTATATCTCATTTTCTTTTGGGAAAATCCATCAGTGACTGGATCCCGGCCTCTGCAGTGCAGTAGCTCTGGGTCGATTTTCGATCGGGAGAAGCCTGCATTTACGCATTAGGGATGAAACACTACTGAGGCAGTTCGTCAGGGTCAAAGGCCGCTGTCCATCAGGGTCAAAGGCCGCCTTGGGTTCTGTCTCCTCAAAGCATAGTTCGATGAATACCTCTCCAAATTTATCAATAGTTCAGTAAGCTACCTAATCGATGACCCTTCCGCCTACTTAGGCCGAACAACACATCTCACCACAATTTTCCATCTGACCAAGCGACAGGATGATTTATTTAGATTCAACTGTTTTCTCTAAGTCCCCTCCTCTCTTTGACCAGTTTGTTTTATTGGGTTAGGCCCTTTCGGTCTGACGAGAGGAGACCATTTCAGGGCCGGAAGGATGATAGAAATTAAGGGGAGGCATTGGGCTGGGCAATCACCGTGGTGAGTCGCCGCGACTGAGCCCGTCGAGCGGACAGGCCGATCAGCCCCTCAAGCACTCACCGCACCCGGCTAACGGGGTGCTCTTACGGGCATTCCCGCATGGGATAAAGTAGCCCGTCCAGCCAGGAACAGGGGGTTGAGGTATGGATGAGAAGGGAATGGATGAATGATGAGAAGGAGTGGATGAGAATGAAGGGGATATCCTTAGGATGGAAACGACGAAACTTTGACCAGCTTTTCTCCCGCATCTGTATGACCTAAATATCTCCCCATTGCCTGCTTGATTTGCTTCCTCTACGATCGTGTCACTAAGCGCACTGTTACGCCCAACCCCTGACTAACCCTCAACTGTGCCCCCAGATCTGCGGGCCCTCTGTCGTTCCAACTGCAGGGCAGCGAGCCCCGTCCAGCCGCGTCTGCCTCCGGCACTTCAGCGACCGCCGACACTAGCGCCCCTAGCGGCGACAGTGAGCACCAGCCGCACGGCCCCAACAGCCTCCAGGCTGAGATCCAGGTAAATGTAAGTACTTCCCGTTCGATTTAAGCCTGGTGGATGTGATACGCCACGGCACGAAGCGTAGCCTGCGGCACCACGAGAATGGAGGCGATTGATTCTGCCGCTCTGCTACTCTGTGTGTCTACTGTCTATGGTTGGACAGGTATGGTGGGGCAGGGGAGGGATGGGAAATCTCCTCGAACCTCTTGTGGTGAAGGGCTGTTCAAAAGATGGGTGGAGGAGGAACCTGGGAGAGATTTGGGCTTGAGTTTAATATATTTTATTCTGAGCTTTAGCAAGGAAGTTTTGGGTAGTTTGTGATGTTTTTTATTCGACAAATCTGATGTTCTTGGTGTTCAGAGGTCAGACAGCATGAACGGAGCGCATGGGGTGGAAGTTTGTTGGATATTTGGGATGAATTGGGGAAATGGCTATGGACTTCGTTCGCTGTTGGTGAGAGGAACGAGGTGGAGGGTTCGTGATTAAGCAACAGTTATTGTTAGCTGAGGCTCAAAGTGAAGCTGATATTACTTTGTTCTTAAAGTTGGTTAACAAGCCATCCATGTTAATTTTGAGACAGAATACATATCCACTCTTTTTGCGTGGAGCGGAACAATGAACACTGATTTTCACTTGCTGTACTTGCCGTATTTCTGGTCATAGATGAAGCGGTAAAAAGCATGATGTATGGAATGGACGCTAGTGCTTTTTTTTTTGGCGACTGAGGCTCTATTTGCATACTGAATGCCATATCATGGCTATATCCTTCGGTGTCATTTCGCTGCTGTCATCGCTGAGCTCTGTGATTTTTGTTAAATATGTTTCGGATGCACCTATGTAGAACTAGCGGTATTCTATGTGATCGTGAAGTTGTCTAGTTTCGTGCATGGTTGTCTTGCCTTTTATGTAAGCATTAGATTGTTCTTACGTCATTATTTTAAATGATATTGCTCTTGGTTTATTGACTATCATTCATCATACGCAGGTCAGTTCATGATTTGCATAATGATATAATAAACTAGTCTATCCCTTTCAGCAATCACGCCTGTTCGGCTAAGTCACATTTGTGATACGCTGAGGCGCCCGCCATCTCTCATACCAGTCTTCTGCCAAAATGTTCACCCCTTAACCCCCCCCCCCCCATTACGCAGGATGCCGAGACGGCGATGGAGCGTCACCACACGGCCGACAAAGGTCAGACCACCGACGTAACCATGGGAACGCATGACGCCGCGCCGAGCGCCACTAACACGCCAAGCGCCAACGGTACGGTGATGGGCACACAACCGCGCACTGCCGGTCCGCGGACACTCTGGAGTGGCCGAATGGGGAACTCTGATGCACCACTATGTGTGGCATGAGATGTGGTAGTCTTTTTTTTTTTTTTTTTGCCTTCACAGAACTTACTTCGTCTAAATTCATTTTCGGAACCTTGACGTGGTTGAGAGCCTTTTTGTTATTATGGTAAATCTGCTTGGGACCCATTTGTTTCTTCTTCCTGATTCGACTTTTAGTCAACACTTTCGACTATCAGCCATCTCTTTCTGATCTTTGATCTAGTTAGAACTTGCCCGGTGCCTATCTCACTCTTTGTGTGCTTTGGGGAAGAAGATGGATGCGGGCGATGACTGTGATACCGTTTGGGAAGCATACGACGGCTGCTAAAAGAAATGCACTCATCTGCTTTGGTTTGGCCATTTTTTTACGGACACCGCTGGATCCCTTATTATCCTCTGGCTGACCCCTGGATCGTTCTTATTGCTTCTTTTGGAACATTCTTTGGAGCTCGCTCTTGGCGCATGCACTGACAATCGTCAACTCCAGTTGGCGATTCGCGAATTACCGACTGCTTGTCTGTGGGATAAATTCCTAAATCGGACGGCCTTCCTCGTAAATACTCTGCGTAAATACTCTGCTTCGGCCGATTTAAAGCATCACTGTCGGCTACCACTACTACCATACATGATCGTTCTATTATTCCAGCCTGGGACCGGGAGATGTCGATGGATGACGTCACGCCGGACCACGAGGACATGCCGTCCGACTTCAAGGCGCCGGCCCTCTCCAACACCACCAAACGCAGGTAATGCCTTCGTGCGGACGTGTATTATTGACACCAAGTGATATATACGAAATCACTCAATTAATTGTTGCATTTATTGGATGTTTTCAACCGATGAGCCATACTTGTGAAGCACGGCACCACTTTGGCTCGGAAAGGCTGAATTCAAGCCATGCGTTATCTTGTCCCAGTTTGTGATATTTATTCACTTTCGATGACAACACATAAGCAAATATTCTAAGTTTTTGTCCCAGTTTGATTTATTATTCCCACCTTGAGTATTCCAGGACTGATGACTGTCTATCTCCCGTCCACAGTGAGCACCGGTCTGCCAACAACCTGTACCAGGAGCTGAGTTTCCAGGACGCCACGCTGGAGCCGGACGACGGAGGAGACGTCACCGGTAGGTCCTCAACAGATAGGATCCTAATGCAGAAGGGCAGGGTGTAGATAGGACGGTCCTCACGGGACGTTCAGCATCGAAGGGACCTGTAGAGCGGGTGACGATACCGTGTGTCCGTGTGGGGTGTGCAGTGCAATAACGCTAGAGGGCTGGTGGCTTATAGTTACACAGTGACTGCTTCGGGGATAACATGAGTGAGGAGACTTAACCAGTACAGGGGAATCATTGTGACACTTAACGTTTCCCGTAACACGCCTTCAAAATTTGGGCTTTCTTGGCATACGGTTTAGCGTGGGCCGTGTTTAACCCGCGACCTGGTGGGGGGGGGGGGGCTATTTTTTGCCCCCCCCCCTCCAGACTTTTCGATATATCTCCAGAACCGCTGCGCCGATCGTCACCAAACTTTCAGTACCCTCCCGGACATCAATTTTACACATTGTGACCAAAAATTTTTCCAAAAGCTATGATAGGTTGGCCGGAAATGACGTCAGAGTGACGTCATGTTCTGCCGTTTTCGACCCAAAAAAGGGTTTCGCGGGAAGAGCTGTCAGGCCTATAGCTTTGCAAATACAGAAAAATGTTTAGGACATAAAAGCTGTAGAATTGACAGGGCTACAAAACTGTTATCTCGGATTTTTGAATTTTTTTGATTTTGACCCCCAAAAATCAAAAAATAGATTTTTGGGATATTATAGTCAAAAAATCCAAAAAGTTTTTTGAATTTCGCAAAAACCGGAATATATGTGATAGTCCTTACCGCCTTCCATCCACATACCAAATTTTAGATTGATACCTCTTTTTTTGGCGAAGTTATAGCGAAAAAACTGTTCAAAATTGATGACGTCAAATTTTCAAACTCAATTTTTAGCAATTCTAGACCTCGTAGTGCAAAACAAAGACCATCATTAGACTCCCCGTGACGACTGCTGCATCGAATCGATGCCCATTTTATGCAAAAATATCAACTTTGAAATTTGACCTTTTTTGACCTGACCTTGACCTGACCTCCACCAGAAAGTGACCTAAACCGTACCTGATGGTCTTATAACCAACACCATTGGGTTGGAAATGAAAAACTGACCATAAAACATGCATCGCACAACCTTAGTAAAGTTGGGTTCATGTGGTGACCCTTGGTGACCTTTGGTGACCTGACCTGTGACCTGACCTGGTATGACCAGTGACCTCTAATAGCAACATATGTACTAGACAACTGACGTCTTATCGCTGATTTTCGACAAAATGCGTTTTACTCGGTGTTATAGCGCTTTCCCTAGAAGCCCCGTGAACGGTGAAACATTTTGTCTTTGACCTGACCTGTGACGTCATCGGTGACCCCGAGGTCAATAAAATTTGGTTTCCCTCGACAAATTTGACAGGGCTATCGAACGCCGTTTAAATTTTGCGGATCCGTCCAGTAGTTTCGGAGATACGAGGGGGGGGGCAAAAAATAGCCCCCCCCCCCCCACCAGGTCGCGTTATAAACAGACCCCACCAGGGCGCGGGTTAACAGGCCTGGCTTTCCCGCGCTTTCAGATTTGTATTAACTTTGCGGGGGGAGGGGGTATTTCGTAGATCCAGTTCCGATGAAGTTGTTTTGTACTTCAGAAAACATGCTACCGATTGCATAACCCAGTTTTATCGAAATAGATGCTGGGCTGGGAAGAGTTTTTATAGTAAGCCCTTATTGCATGCTCTGCTTTCACAGTTCATCCCGGTGTGTAACTTCGGGCTGGTGTGATTTTAACCTGCATCGCGTGTTGCACCATGGTTACGATTACGTTGATAATCGGTATGCGTGGTGGGACAATAACCGAGGTTATACCGCTGACGCCGCTGTGTCGCGTCGTCCTCTAAAATTGACCGCCTGTGTCGGTTCCCGCGGCATACCAGGAGGCTGGGTACACCCGGGCGAGTTTGCCTCCTCAGGTTGGTCGGTACTCGGTCTTCAGTAGCCGCACATAACCGTAGTTTGGTGTGGTCACGTGATCAACGCGTAGGCCAGTGGCTGGCTCTGCGTGTTGGTCACGTGAGTAGCGCTGCATGTTCTTTCCATGCTGGTTGGCCGTGACGTCAGTGTTAGCTTTAACACACGGTGCTTCAAACCCTGTGGTTGAAAAATAATTATAATCTCAACCCGTCTTTCGAAAACCAGCATAGATAACATGCTCGTTTCGGTCGAACTAACTACTACCAGCATATTAACTAATTCCGTTTAACACTTACGTTTGCGGCAAATCCAGGAAAACATAACGATCTGTTACTTCTGTATAGCCACTTTATTTGCGCTTCTTTTTGCTAATTAATATTTGAAATGTTCTAATAACTACTGTATATTTATAATTTGCCTTGTTTCACGATGTGTTTGCTATATTTGATTTGCTAGCTCTTGCTTTGTACAGGTTGATTGACAATGCCATAGCAGCGGGCATGTCAAGGCTATTGTTCTGCCTGCCCAGTCGCGCGCTCTCGATCGCTGTTTGATAGCCACAGTACCCCTGGCTGACGAACAATCTCTCCTGAACACTGCTCAAAGGAACGATGCTAGCGGCTACCAGCGGTATTAGGTATTATGTTTCTATGTCATCGCATCGGACCTTGGGCGGTAAATTTTATGCATCAACAAAGAGCTGTATGTGATTTCATTGTCAGTTCTCCAATGAACTTCGAAAACGTATTTGAAAAGCGTTATGGACCCAAACCGTTTTTACTTTCACCTCGCGAATTTCGCTGGTAAACGCTCAATATCGTACCACTGAACAGGTTTCACCTCTTGGTTTGGAGCTGTCACTATCGGCACCCGCTATTTTCTCTCTCCGCCCGGCCACTCTCGCTGTCTCTGTTGCACCCTCTGGGCCCCCGCCGCATGACCTTGACCTTGACCTGGGCACGTGTCACCGCCGCTGCTGCCAGAGTCCGATGACGAGGACGAGGGCCCGGGCCGGCGGTCGGCGACGGCGGCACAGAAGCATGGTAGGAAGTGGGGGACACTGCGCGAGATAGGCGCCACGTGCGCTCACTGCACCCGATCGCGAGCACGCTCGGTGGGGCATCAGGAGGAGCCTGGCTTTTTTATGAATGAGACCGATCGTCCGTCGTATCCACTTCCCAGTCTGTTGTACTGGATTGTTTGTCATCAATTTTGTCACGGAAGGCTGCTCGTCGGGGGGCCTGTCAGTCCATGTCGGGTTAATTGTTCTCTCCGCTCATACGCATTTGAAGAAGTATCGTGTTGTATTTCCCAGTCATTCCACCTAATTTTCCAGCTGATCCTGCTCACTGCTATCACTCCTCAATGTAAACTTTGTAGATGAACGTTTTTCTTTATCGTGTCCTAGCTTAGTTGTACATCGTAGCTATAACATGTCGTATTGCTTAGCCATCCCAATGCCAATGACTGTTAGCAGTGGCTGAGTTTGAATGCAAAAAGGTGCCAGGGAAAGGTAATTGGGGAAAAGTTTCCGGTTTATCATCGCCAAAATTCGTTGCGCACTTAAAGTCCTTGGTCGGACATGTCTCACCATAAAACATGTCCTTGTTCCCACTTGTTTTAATTGTGTTTCTCAGCCTCTTAGCTACGTTGTCAACAGAAGCTACTAAATGTCCTTACCTGTTGGTAGCGTTGTAAGCTAGAAGTCGTTAGCGTCTTGCTAACGTCTGAGTAACTCCTTAAACATGTTTACAGCGTGCTGGTAATCTTGCACTGAGTTGTAGTTTTACAAGTAGCTTAGAATTAGATGTAATCCCACTTGTAAACATTTTGTGTTCCTTGTTTTTGTTAGCATCCCTGTTTTTCGCCGCTTGTTCCAACTTGTGATAACAATCCCCTCTCCTGCTTTGTGTTGCGATATTCAATGCGTACCATGCTGATGCATTCTTATGTCCGTGTCCGCTGCTTGCTACTTGTTCGTGCCTGTTTTTACCTATTTGTGTTCCATGTTCTAATAATGGTCTTTTGTCTTTTTGCAGCCAGCGATAACTTTTTCGGTAAGACCCCGCCCCCCCCCCCCACTCCCATGCATGCCACGAATCGCAACTTGCATTTGTTATCATGCGAGCCAACTTTACATTTTTGTAATGCATTTGACAATTTATCATTGCAGTGCGTAGGTAGCAAATAAAAAGAAAAATATGGGACACCATCCTTTTGTCAGCAGTGTGAATGAGCAGTGCGGCTTTGCTTTCAGGAATGGGACGGGAAGTGGAAAACCTCATCATGGAAAATAACGAGCTGCTTGCCACCAAGTGAGTGTTGAAATGTGACCGTGGAATGGGATTATTTTAAACTTTGCGGATTTGATGAAACTCGTTTACTGAACTCCTTTGAATTGTGTCATAGCTTCTACGCTACAACTTAGCGAGAAACGTATAGTGTCCTTCACCGATAGTCTTATTTGGTGTCACTAATTGTCAATCTTATTGTAACACTTTTTTTTTTGGTATATTCCATTTTCAGTGCCTTTTTGTCCAATAAAATTCGTCACCTTTCTTAGCTTATCGTGGCACTTTCAAATTATATCTGCCTGCTACAGACTGAAGCTTGTTAAAGGGGCGAGTGTCGTCTAGTGTGAATGTAAAATGCATGGGGAATTTCCGAAGAGCGCATTGCTCCCTTCCATAGTTCTTTTTGAAATGCATGAATTACTCACGGCCTCTCGATAGTCTGTTTCCCTGCCAATTTTTCCAAATGTTTCAGGAATCCCGATCGTTTTTGCTGAGCCAAGCTGGTATAAAAACAGCAGTGTGTCCGTTTCGCCTCGCGCGGTGTTTGTTGCTCGCACTGGGTGCCCGCTGCCTGTCTGTGTCCCTCCCTTTCCCCTAGACCGGCCTCCATCCACCCCCGCGTCCTCTAACGCTGAACTGTCTGCCCCCAGGAACGCCCTGAACATTGTCAAAGACGACCTAATTGCCAAAGTGGACGAACTCACCGGGTAAGACCGTCAGCATGCGGGTAATGTAACGCTCTTCTTCGTTCTGTGTCGTGACCCAGCCTTTCTTGTAATGTTGGGTTGTGATGTTCATTGATAACTGACCTGTTTGATGTTTTATGCTCAGTTCATAAAAGTCTACAGTCGAGCGTGCCCAATGATTGTTAATAGCTGATCCCCGTTTCTACTGTTAGCGACGTTAGCGTATACGGAAACACACGCAATAAATTTTTATGACGTTATCCGAGAAAATTACGGTCAACATTGTCTGGTCCCGGTCGTCTCACTCGATAGTCGACATATTCCAGCGGTGTGTCTGCTGTTTTACCATCTCGTGGAGATCAACCACTCGATAATATCGCTGTGGCTTTACATAACGTAGGACTAGCTGTACAGGTCGTGACTCTGCTGTATGTACGTTACGTAATCCATCCCTATAAAGTCGACTTTGGACAATCAGTGACGGTGGTCAACAATGCTCGTACATTCCAGCGGCCCATTGCCCGTTTATGTCGGGCATGCCGTTTGTTTGTTTACTGAACTTCAATGAGCATAGTTATTTTCTGTGCTGCTTGAATCCGGTAATGGCAATGGTCATGGCGTAACCGCAGCGGTCACGTTTTCTTTTATTAGTCAGATGCGTGATGTATGTGCTCATTCAGTTGGGAACCAGTTACAAAGGCCACAAAACCAAACGAGTTGCAATGAGCATAGCATTCCAACGTTTTGGGGAATCTGTCGGCCCATGTGTTTTCTCGAGTGTTGCCCAGGCTGTGATAATCAGAGAGCAACACACGATTGGTCGTGTTTCGCAATCAACCCCCAGCATTATTCAGTAGACAATAATCGAACGAGGTCATAAGTTATCGTTTGTATTTTTGAGAGACTGATAGCAATGCAAATGTGTATAAGTTTCACGATATCATTGCGTCGTGAAGTCGACTGAAGTCAACATCCTTTGCGCATATTCATCGTGCAATAGATTTTTTGTTTTCTTCTTACGATTTACACGCATATTTGGTGAAGGAATAGTCCTGCATAAGTTTGATAATTGATTGACATCATTGGACTTTGTTTGACTGTCTGGCCTTCTGAATTTTTCTCAAGTTTAATTAGGGACTCCGTTGAGCATCAGTAACCGCCCAGCGGCGCAGCCTTAGTTTTAGTATACCTACGCACACCCGTAACATCCCCTCCCCGTCCCTCCCCTCCCCTCGCTCCGCCAGTGAGCAGGAGATCCTCCGCGAGGAGGTCAAGTCGCAGCAGACGGTGCGGTCCCGGCTGCAGCTGCGCGTCCAAGAGCTCGAGGACGAGCTGAAGAAGATGAAGGAGGACGCCGAGAAGACCAGCAAGGAGACCACCGAGGAGGTACGAGAGTGGAGGATCGCCCCGGGGGAGGATGGTTCTAATCTATCACGCATTGCGAGGGACTATTTGGGCCTCATTCCGGTGTAACCGCAATGGAATTACTGATACGGGCGATACTCCGATATCCCTTCACCCTTCAGTACTGACGTGTGATTGACTGATTGTGATATCGCCAAGTTGCATTTCTTCTACACACACACACAAAAAAAAAATATTTTGCTGTTCAGGATCCAGTTATTATACATTTTTCACAGTATCCACAAAAATGAACTTTGATTTCTCATCCAGAAGCAATGGCATGCAAATCAATCACGGCGAGGAGTTGTTCGGTCCAGGCCTTAATCCTTGACATGTTTTATGATTCTCACTTGGTATCACACCACTGTATCACCATCTCTCACCCGTTAACCCGTCTCTGTTCCCCAGGACGACATCCCGATGGCCCAGCGGAAGCGGTTCACCCGTGTCGAGATGGCCCGCGTGCTCATGGAGCGGAACCAGTACAAAGAGCGCTTCATGGAGCTGCAGGAGGCGGTCAGGTGCGTGACAGGGCCCCCCCCCCCCCCTGGACGTGGGGTCCGCTGCTGCTCTTTATGTTATATGCTCTCCTGGCTGGATAGGAGTTGTGCTAGTTCCAGTACCTCGGTGAGACCGTTAGGACTGTGAGGTCTGATTTGTATGCATCAGGTATTTGAGTTAATGTTATTTAGGTTACCTTTCTGGATCTCTCTCCAATGTTTTTGAATAATGCAGTAGTTTGGTCTATTGTGCACCACAAATGCCTACCGCATGGGCATGTTCTTACCAGGATGCTTGTTCCGTCATGTGACTACTTTTGCAAACGATGCATGACGCAATAAGAGAGATCGTGCATGCATTGTATGCATGTCACGGTGTTGATCAGGCCTGTTTGGATTTGTTGAGTAAATCTAAACAGACCTCTACGTTGTATTCCGGACTGCAGGCTCAGACATGAACTAACGTGACTACGTGGCGTGATACGACCTTATCTGACTTAGCCTACCCTGACGTACCTAACCCGACCTGACTAGCTGACCTGACCTGACCTGACCTGTCTGCTGTCAGGTGGACGGAAATGATCCGGGCCAGTAGGAGCGACGGTCAGGGCATCGACAAGAAGAGCAAACAGGGTATCTGGAAATTGTGAGTAGAGTAGCATATTGATACCCGAGGAAGCATGGGCTGAGACCACTCTTTGTCTGCCTCAATGTTCCTTGTTGTCTTATGTTCGTTTAAGGAGGTTGTCGTATGCCGTTCAAGACGCACGACATCCCAGAACACGATGTATCGGCATTGCTGCAATATTAATTAGTGCGTATCCACCAACATCTTACCTTTTTTGAAAGCATCATCTTAACAATATGCTTACTATATCAAAGAGAGCGTGGACCTGTAAAGACGGTAAATTGTACAAAGCCCTGCTTTTCTTTACCTTCCACCTTATTTTTGATTCTCGCATCCCTGACTCAGCTCCCACCAGCCACCTGACACCCATCTCTCCACCCTCCGCAGTTTCAGTAACCTGTTCAGTTCGACCGACTCTCGGCCGTCCAGTCGCGCCCTGCCCTCGGGTAACGTCCTGTACGACGCACCGTCCAACTCCGTCAGCCCGGCCGAGCCGTCCAAGCGGCGCGGCGCGCAGGAGCGCAAACGAGGGCTGGACTTCCTCGACACGGACATGTGAGCTGGAGGGGATGCACTGGTACAGTGTGGGAGGAGGGGCAGCTAGAGTAGTGTAGGGGGCAGGGAATGAGGAATTGAGAAGGCAGGAATTGATGTGGGGTTTGGTTGGGACTATGGTGGCTGTTGGGGAGGGGGGGAGGGTCGCCCCGGGGATGGCGTGAGTCTGATCTAATCATGGAGCACTTTGGACGTTTGTGGAAATGTGGGGTTAGATATTTCGTTGATTGTTTGTGAACAGCTGTTGATTACGACATAGGTGCTGTGTGATTTTCTCTGACCTGACCCGACCTGCGCTGACCTGACCTGCGCTGATCCGTCCTCGTCAGTTCGTCGGAGAAGCTACAGCAGCGGCGAGCCACCGAGCGGCGTGAACAATACAAGCAGGTGCGCGCCCACGTCAAAAAGGACGACGGACGCATGCAGGCCTATGGCTGGTCACTGCCCGCGAAGGTAAGGGACACGCGATGGATGGAGGGTGAGCCGCGAGGCCGTGGTGTGATTTCACTTGCGAGAGTTTGCAAGAAGGGACAATTACTGCGTGGAAAGTAAAAGGATTTATTTCTTCGCAGTAAGCAGCGTCAAGACGCTTGGAAACAGTTTCGATGAACACTAGTCGTTGAATTGCAAAATGGCTTCCTCCAGGCAGCAGGCTGTTTAATATGACTATTTTCGTCAACCCAAGGCGTTTAACTAATTTCACTGGCGTGTCACGTATGCTATCAACTATATCAGTTCCGACGAATATGTTATCTGCCAAACCTTACCAACCAGCTGTCCACGTAGCAACCGGCGACCTATCCATCCACTAAAAGCGCTCACCTCTTTGCTTCCAGGTGCCCAGCGCGCCGGCCGCCGCGGCGCCTCAGGGCAAGACCGAGAGTCAGAAGTCGTCTCACGTGCCGGTCCCGGTGCCCGTCTATTGCCGACCGCTGATGGAGAAGGAACAGGGCATGAAGGTAGCTGGGGTGAATATGATAATGGTGTTTTATGGAGTAGATGAATATAGCGCGAATGCGGCTAGTGAAAATTATTGCTTTATGCAGATGATCAATGCTCAGATTTTATGCCGACAAATGTATGTGTTACATGATAGGCTATTGCTTTTTGGTGTGGGTTTTCTGGAAATTTGATCCAACGTAGCTGCGTGTCTGGGGAATTATAGATCCCAGTGTTCGTATTAAGTTATCATCGTCATTGAATCTGCGCTCTATTGTAAGCTATTGAATGCACCTTCTTGCCTAGTATATATCAAAATATCGGACACTTTGTCTACCTTGGGCTGTCATTGGTTTTCGTCACTCCATCGCCCAGCTCCCACTGCATTCATTTATCCCTCTGTAGCGAAGTGCTCCAGCCTTAGAGCTGCCTCCCTGTCCCCTAGAGCTGGTAGCGTTCCTTCTTACAGTCCCCACCTCTCGTCTCTCAGATCTGGTGTGCGGCCGGCGTGAACCTGACGGGCGGCCGGACGCGGGATGGCGGCAGCGTGGTGGGCGCCTCGGTCTTCTACTCAGGAGAGTGCGCCGTGCCGGGCTCGCCGGTCGGAGAGGGCGACGAGGTCGAGCAGCTCAGTCGGCAGCTCAAGGTGCGGGCTGAGGAAGTGCCGAAGTGTCCCTGGGGCATTGGAGTGGAAGACTCGTATAGCTCACTGCAGCTGCACTGATCCCTATGGATAGATATGCCTATTTTTAGCGTCGTTTTACTCTTGTTCATCATCTCTACATGAACGCTAGCTGTCCTACTTGATCACTTGTATATGTCACTGGTGTCCACGCAAACCCATGCCTCTCCCAATGTAGTCCGTGCTATTCACCTTCGTCAATCACTGACCGCCCCCTCCCTTTTTACTACAACAGGAGCAAGAGCAGCTTCGTACCGAGAACGAAACACTGGACCAGAGCCTGTCCTCCCTGGTGTGGATCTGCACGAGCACTCACAACGCTAGCAAAGTGACTGTGATCGACGCCAACAACCCGGCCGATGTTCTTCAGTCGTTCCCTGTCTGCTCGTCACATCTGCTCTGCATTGCCAGTGTGCCGGGTAGGTGCCGGGAGGGAGGCAGGGAGGGAGAGAGAGAGAAGAGAGAGAGAGGAGGGAGAGAGAGAGAGAGGGGGGGAGAGAGTGGTGGTCTGATAACGTGGGTGATTGAGGGAAGGGTAGATGACAATTATGTTTCGCCGTGTAGCTTCTTTGTGATGGATGGGAGTCACTACAGACTCGTATGCTGAGCGTGAATGATTAATGATTATGCTTGCTGTTGAGGAAAGGGATCTGGTCTCAGTTCGTGAAACAAGCAAGCTTTTCAAGCGTTTTATGTATTATTTGAATCGAGGTCACCTACACAACCATATGAGCCACACTCTATAAGATACATACATCTTCCGTTCAACTTGCTGCATCGCTTTGGCGCGTGTCCCCACCGGCCACGGTGAGGACCCACGGGCACTGCCTCTGCCGTCTCTGCCGCGCGCTAGCCCTATTGACAGCACCAGCGTACCGCCTCCCTTTCACGCGACCTCCCTGTCAGCACTTTCTGCATCTGCTTCACTCCCTTCTCTTTCCCTCCTCGGCTCCCGTCCAGGCGCCATGGAGTCTGATTACGCAGTAGACGGAGAGCTGGCCAGTCTTACCACCGAGGAGCCCGCTCCGGCCACAGCGGCAGCCGGCGGCGGTGATGAAGCGGACGGCGCCGGTCAGGAGGGTCGCATGGCCACCATCCGACTGGTGAGCTGTGCCACCGGAGAGACTGCCCCGCCGGCCAGCGGACCGCCCAGCGGCGTCAGCAGTACTGATGGTGAGATCATAGCGGGGGAGGTAGGGGGGCAGGGGAGGTCGCTGCACTGCTTCGGGCTGCGGCAGGAGATAGCACTGGGATCTGGGACTATGGTAGTCATAGCTTTCCTGCTGTCATCATATCAAATATGACTTACTGATGATACCACATTTTATCACTGAGTTAAATCTAATAGGTATCGTCTGCATGAAATATAAACGTTGATATAGGCGAAACATTTTTGTGGCCGTGACCTTCGATCGATCTTGCGACGCATCTCTGCCACTTAGCTTTAGCTAGTCGAGCTTGGTGGTAGGAAGCTTGGCCCTCAGCTTCGCACTGCCCGCTTTTGAAACACAGCCTTTGTACGTACACATAACTGCAGCTACCTCGGATCATTATAGATCCATCTTAAATCCCGTACACGGCTATAATGTTGCAATATCTCTGGAAGTGATTGCTTTAGGCTGCAAGTGGAGACACCAAACACACCTTTCGTCTGACCATAGACGTCCTCTGTACACCGGTGTACAGAGGTCTATGGTCTGACACATTGGCACCAGTCTCAACTTTAGTCCTGCGATGTAAGATATTTCGATGAACAATATTAGGAGACAATAATTTTTGGGCGTCCGTCGATATCGTTTGTCTGTGGTGCTTCCGTGTGCGTTTGGGAGCTATGACAGTGTTCTGTCTTGGGTGTCATCGTTGGGCTGTTTTCTGGCGTGTCTTGTGTTGTTTGGGCAGCTTTTGAACGTCGGCGCTTTATTTGCAGAGATCAGACCTGTCCTGCGGAAGGAGGTTAACACTGGGGAGAACGGTAAGTCAAAGCTTTGCCATTTAAGCATTCGAAGAAGTGGATGCTTGATTTTTTCTAGGGCAATTTCTATTTCGCAGTTTCTCCCCTGCAAAACGGACTGCTTTGTTTGTAGTTCTTATGGCTCACACGATAGATTGCAGCTTCAGGGAAGTGGCCAAGGCTTATTACGAGCGAGCGAGTTCATACTGAATTAAGGGAAAATCCTGAGTATGAGCGGCCGGCCGGCCGGCCGTGGGGACGCTCTTCAAAAGCAAATCTTAGGAACGGGACATCCGATTGACAAGCGGTCTTCTTTACTGAATGTCACTTGGACGTAAAAGTTCTGTGGTGTGATGGCCACCATGCGTTCTTGCCAACCATCGCACGTGGCGCGTGGTAAAGTTGGACATTTTTTTAAGAACCCCAAAAATTGCAACCTCAATAACGGCACAACGGTTCGGCCGATTGAATTGAAACTCGGTACACAGTTAGGTCTCCATCAGATAATTCATCTGCATGTGTTAAGGTTGGGGTGCTACAGCACGTGCGCACGTGCAGGGGGCGCTCCCAGATCTCGAGAACGGCTTATTTATTTATTTATTTATTTATTTATTTATTTATTTATTTATTTATTTAGGCTCGTTACAACATCCACGTAGTGGCTTTTACGTTGTAGTGTCAGTATACATGAAAATCATCTCACATCTCGGGCATAGATAAAAAGACAAAAAGAAAAGTAAAATACAAGAACACGATAAGAATATTAAAATACCACGATAACAGCATCTATAAAATGTTGAGGTAAGCTAAATCACCATCCAATAGGTACATGAAATATATGTAAAAGATGACAGTAAATGGAGCGGTACTAAACGACCTAAAAGGCGAACGAACAATGACACCTAAGGGCTAAGATATAAACATTGCACAAACTATCACACTAACGCATTCTCTCTGATATTCTTCCTGCACTGCCTAACGGTCGGCGCCTCCCGGACAGCTGGTGGCGCTCCATTCCAGCTAGCCACGGCGCGGTAGGTAAAGAAGCGCCGGGCACGTTCAGTGCGCACCTTGGGTAGCTGGAGCTGCCCAGCTTCAACGGCCCGGGTGCTGCGTGCTGATATGTCTGCGCGGGACTCGACAAGAGTTTTTAGATTTGCGGAATAAGTTCCGTCTTTTAGAATCTTATGAATCGTGAGAATATCCTTTTCCACAATAAGTTTGTCTAAATTTTGCCAATTAAGCTCAGCGAACAACGGTGTGACGTGCACGTTGCGCCGTGATGAGGTAGTGATTTGGGCAGCATGATTCAGCACCTTCTGGACTCGTTTCCGCTGGACATCCCTGCACCCACCCCAAACAGTAAGGCAATACGCTATATGTGGGAAGACCAGAGCCTCAACAATGAACTTTTTTACTGCGGTGGGTAAAGAATGGGAAAATTTCGCCAGCCCTGCCGAAGTTGCGTATGATCTCCGGATCACCATCGAGAGATGGTCCTCCCACTTCAGCTCGGGGTCCAATGTGACGCCTAACACTTTCATCTTGATTGCTGGCCGCACCTGCGCACCAGCAAAGTTCACCATAATGTCGCCACCAATGCCTTGTTTTGGCATGCCAAAAAGTATCATTTCGGTTTTAGCCGGATTAATTTTAAGTCCGTTTTGGTCATACCAGTTCTGAACGATGGAGAGCATATCCTCCACTTTGTGTTTATGACTATTCATATCGTTTTTGTTGAAACTGTTGAGAAATTGCGAGTCATCGGCATACATTACAATTTTATCGCAAACGACATGGGAAGCGACATCATTAGTGAATAACGAGAACAAGATTGCTCCCAAAGTGCTCCCCTGTACCACGCCATGGGTGACAGGAAGGAGGTGTGACGGCTGGGCCGATTGCGCTCAAATTTGGTACACGGTTGGGGACCAGTTAGTAGGGTGCCGTGCAAAAGTCAGTTTGGACCCCGCTTGCACGTGCGCACGTGCAGAATGCCGCTTCCAGATCTCAGGAACGGCTGGGCCGATTGCGTTCAAATTTGGCACACTGCTAGCGACCGGTTAGAAGGGTGCTTTGCACAAGCCCGTTGGAAGTACCCTTTCGCCCTTGCGCACGTGCAGGGCTCACTATCTCGCTCGCTCGTTCTTCGCCCAAAAGGCGTTTTACTGGTAAATATAATGTACCGGCTTTTGTTTGTTGCCATGTTTTCATTTGATTGGACCACTTGTCGATTTTTACCTTCCAAAGTTTCTTCATTTCCCTATGCAGACCAAAGTCGCATAAGAGGCGCGAATGTTCTCTTCTTTTTGAACCGCTGCTCTCCTCTACTGTTTTTCAGAGCGGCTATGGCAGGGTACTTTTACTATTCTTTTTTATTACTCGTCCTGTGCAATGACGCTCGATCTTTTGGCTTGCAGCGTGTATTTTGCTCGTATGTTCCAATCCTAATGTCTCTTGTATGGTCCGCTCCTATCAGCAGCCTGCTGTGACGTTTTCATTTGAATCCTTCAATTTTTCATGTCGATAGCCAATCTACGAAACTCAAGACCAAAAACATCGTTTGTTTTGTCATTCAAGAGCACCCATCGAAGGTCCATGCTGGCTCATTTCCTGCATCTTCATTACATTATGTTGCGTTTGTTTTTCTATATGTTCACTCAGTTTGGTCTTGTCTCTGTCGTCACGCCTATTTGCCAGTCTGTTTCGTTTGTATCCGTTTTATCCCACCTGACTGTCTCGTCAGCCCTGTCCGCTGGGTTCGTCCATTGAGTCTTTCCTGTCAGTGCTGTCCATCTTGTCCCGTCGGGCTGTCTTGCCTTGTCTGGCGGTTCCGTCTGTCGGCTAATTCTGTCCGTCTGTCGGCTGAGTCCTGTGCCATATGTCGGCTGAATCTGTCCCGTCTGTCGTCCGAGTCCGAGTCCGAGTCTGCCGGCTAAGTCTGTCCGTCTGTTGGCTAAGTCTGTCCGTCTCGCGTCCCCGCAGCGGCCGAGCGGCCAGCCGAAGACCCCGAGTCGGCGGCTCAGGCCGAGCGGCGCCTGATGACATCTCCGACCGATGACATTGTCAAGGACGGCCTCACTGACGGCGTCAGTGGTACGTAGCGGTGTGGCACCTAGATAATATGACACCGGTATTCGGTGTGTCACCTAGACAGGTCGCTAATGACACCGATATTGGACGCACCCAGACACCACAACTAGCATGTAGGCCAATAACGCATAGACCAATAGGCCAGCGAATTCAGATTGATTTGAGTGTTTAAACTACCCGGAGACAATGTGGGATGGAGTGATCTGTTTACACAAACTGGACCTCGGTGTTTGGGCTGGTTTGAACCGGGTGATCAGCCACTGGGTTTGGAGTGAATATACACTGGTTGGGTGTCAGGGGCACAAGCCGGCGCCAACGTGGCATGATCGGAACGGAGACTGTTTATAGTAAATCTCAGGCGGGTGTCAGGGCCCAGGGGATTGATGACGTTGCATTCCTCGACTGGTGTTGGTCGTGATAGTGATATTTGAAATTTTACTTGGCAACAGTTAGGAACTTTGAACCCAACGCTCCTGAGGGTAAACAGTGTGACCCTTGAACTTTTGGCCACAGCTGTTTAGAACGGGCAGAGTCGCGTTTTTTTTTTTTTCTTGCATTATCCCGCAGTTATTCTTGGGTTATTAATGGTGCCGATTTATCGGTACTTTAGCTAGCCCGATGTTTGTTTTGTGTTGTGATATTTCACTGTTACGATAGCTCTGAGACTTGTAATGACATGGTTGCGTTTCTTATTTGTTTGGCCCGGCTGAAACCCCGTCACTCGTCAGTGTGTTATTTCTTTTCTGCCCTTGCTGCATTCATTATGCCTGCGGGATTTGTGTTTTATTCTGCTGTTTCTTCTGATCGTATTTAATTGGTCTACCTGTGTTGTGTCTGCGCCTTTACCCAACAGTTTGAAATTTTAACACAGTCACAAACTCGAGAAACTTCTGTCATGCCTGTTCACATTACATATAGTTTCGTCATGCAACCAGACCCTGGCCTGAAATGTTTATGTAATTCAGCCTAATCAGGATGTTCCTTATCCTGTTTCCAATAAACATATGCTGTATTATATCGCTTGCTGGCCTCTACACTGACTGCGCCTTCGCGACCTCTGTCCCACTTTCCGCTCCCGCACTCCTTCCTGAACCACACAATTAAATAATCCAAAGGAGAAACGGGGGGGGGGGGGCACTGTTGAGAATATTTTTGACCACTTCCCTTACAGAAGGATGGGCAGAAGATGAATGCTAATCACTACCACTCGACTTCTTTAGTCCGTCATTTGTAGCCCCGCTCATGGGGAGGGCTAGGATAGCTTCCCTAATCGCTGACATTGGGCGGAGATGTCTGGAGATCATCGCACTTCAACTGACATCCCTCCCTCCCCCTCCCGTCCTTCAGAGTCTCACATGGGTCAGGAGGAGGAGAAGATGTCGAGCGTGCTGCCCACCATGTGGCTCGGCTCGCAGTCGGGCTGCGTCTACGTCCACTCGGCCAAGGCCCAGTGGAAGCGCTGCATCCACTCCATTCGACTCAAGGACTCGGTGCTCAGCATTGTGTGAGTAGGCGGTGGGAGCAGGATCGAATCTCGGTGGGTCTCAGTGTTTGCCCGCCTTGTGAAGTGTCATGTCGTTACTAACATTTTCCTCAGCTGCACTGGAAAAATACTGAAGCATTATTGAATTTTATCAGGGGTCAAAATTTGCATAATGAATCTCGTTCCAGAGGTGATGGTTCCGCCGACGCGATGGTAATTCCCATTGCGTATTTGCAGCTTGACTTGCGTATTTTGCATATCCCGCGCTGTTTTTACGCCGAACTTGCGATGACGTGGAACTCAAGGAACCTCCTGAGAGCCCCTTGTCGCTGAATATATCTGAGGCCGCACCCCGGCCTCCGGGTCACGTGAGGCCGGTCATGTATCGACCGGTAATGTATCGCTCCCCGATCAGGTCATGCATTACTCACCAGCACGTGATTCGGTCATGGTACCATGATCGGATTGTGGCGCCACTTGCCAACACAGGTGATTGTTGAAGGCTGCTGCATGTCTCTGAATATATCGCGTTGGGTTCAACTCTGCTCTGTAAGGTCTCCGGGCCGTGACAATCCACTTCGTAGCGAACATGTTGCTGGTTTTCTGACGTCATTTATTTTACCCAGACCTTTCATCACTCCCTGTCTTGAGTTCTCTCTTTCTCTCCCTCTCTCCCTTCCCCTCTTCCATATTCATCACCTAAGTGCACGGCACCACCCCCTTTGACCTCAGTTATTTCCCGTCATTGCTGACACCATGACCGGCCCCTGAGGGGTTTCCCAGAGGGACCGGCCCCAGTTCCGCTGCGCCCCTAGTCTTCCCACATCTCATGACCGCCATCTTCGCATGTCTGTTTTCTGACGTACACGCTCCTACATTCCAGAACAGCTGGACCGCATTCCTGCATTTTGTCAGACATTCATGAATGTCTCTTTTCAAAAGTTGAGATTGAGACTGAGACTTGGTCTTAACTATTTACATCGCACTTGCATTTGTGTGTTGCCATCACGCTCGAACATGTATTTAACATGTTTCCATTATCCGTTCCTACCCGTGAAAGTCCACGTCTGTGACGGTCCTGTTTGTTGACATCTTCGCAAAGTCCGCTCTAAACCAGAGAAGGCTACGTCTGTGACGGTCCCCGCCCCTGTGCCCGTGTTTCAGTCACGTGAAGGGTCGCGTGCTGGCCTCGCTGGCCGATGGTACGGTGGCCATGTTTCACCGCGGGCCCGACGGCCAGTGGGACCTGACCAACTACCATCTGCTCGACCTGGGCCAGCCGCAGCATAGCATCAGGTCAGACGTGGACCGGTCTTCAGGGGCGTGGGTAGACCAGGGAAGGCATGATGAGGTTTGTGTTTTAGAGGCGGAATAGAGAAGGCAATGACAAACGAAAACGAGGGATGTTTTGGGAGTTGTGCTGTAGGACTTACTAGCGTGCATGGTTTCAAGCAGTCACGTCCAATCCCGCCTCCATCATTGGTTTTAATTTGTCGTCATAACTTCAGTCTTGTTAGTGTGTCTTGCGACATGTATTTTGGGTACATTCGCTCCAGCAGCGTGCTGTGTAAACTATTGCTGGATATTATAGCTACGTGTGTGAATAACCCGGTCCTCGTTTCGTCGTCAGGTGTATGACAGTGGTGCAGGACAGCGTCTGGTGCGGCTGTCGAAACCGGGTGCATGTCATCAACCCAAAGACCATGCAGGTTCAGGTGAGTGGTCGTCGACCAACGACAATATTTTTTTTTAAGAAATACACCGCCACTTATGAACAGGTGCAGACCAGGAGTGCTACAGAACACACTATTTTGATGATATTGTGTGGCCAGGTGTGTCTGATCACTGTCTTGAATTTTTCCAGCAATTTTATAGCTATGATTATGGACATGAATGGGCTTTAAAAACCCAACCTGATCCCAGCCATCGTTATTGTGAAATATGAAGTCGTGCAGCCATTTCTCACCTGTTCCTTTGTGATGGCATTCTTCCCAGAACAAACTACTGGGACACACTCAATCTTGACATTGCTCCTCTTTTATGTCTCCCTTCTCCATATTCACACCTTCATCACACTGAACGCAGTATCGCAGCTGCCTCATAACCTACTCACCAGCCTCTACTCCGCCTCCTCGGCACTCACTCTCCCCCACCTCCTCTCTACTAACTCTCCTCTCCAACTCCTCTCTGCTCACCCAACTCCCTTCCACTTACTGCTCTCCAACTCCCTCTACCAACTCCAACTCCTCTCCAAACACCCCCATCAAACTCCTCCTCTCCACTCGCTCTTCTCCTCCACCTCCTCTATACCAACTCTTCCATCTCCTCCTCGCCACTAACTCTCCTCCCCCCCCCCCCTCCACAGACGTCGTTTGACGCCCACCCGCGGCGCGAGTCGCAGCTGAGGCAGATGGCCTGGCTCGGTGACGGCGTCTGGGTGTCGATCCGACTCGACTCCACACTGCGCCTGTACCATGCGCACACGCAGCAGCACCTACAGGATGTCGACATCGAGCCCTACGTCAGCAAGATGCTCGGTGAGTGCCGCGGAGGGAAGAGTGGGAGAGAGAGAGTAGAGGGTAGATGTGCGGGCGAGAGTAGGTTAATAGTTTGTAGAGCTGGGTTGTGCTTTGGGATTATCTTTGGGCGGATCCAGTAGTGATTAAAGCTTTTTGACGATATGCTCATCATGACAACGATGCTTCTCTGACTAATCATAAGCATTTGGCATTATTTTCGAAAGTTTATCGGTACTCGGCTGCTGTCATTTTTGCCTTAAGTAATCTTTCGTCTTATATCTGGGTAATGTAATGCTGCCGGTTACGCCCAATGCTGGGTCTTTGCTCGCCTGTCTGGATCCGCCAGGGTGGCAGTCCGTAGGGACCCTGTCCCGCGCCGTCGCCAGCCTAGCGCTCGCCTGTACAGAGTGCCGCTTGGCTTGGCCGCGCCGCGCCAGGCGGCGGCCGGCTGTCGGCTTGTGCGGGCGCCTGGCCTGGCCTGGCCCAGCCACCCGTCTGTCTGTGTGTGCGCGCGCGTGTGTGTGTGGGTGTGTGGGTGGATGTCGCTCGGGACCTCTGCGCCACAACGCTAACACTCTCTCACCTGCTGCCTTCTCTCTTTGTACGCTTACCGCGAGGACCAGGCCTGATCCCTGGAGGTTTGTATAGAGTAGCGCGGCGTCGGTCGGCCGGTGGTGCACCCTCTCGCGCCGGCCGACACCAGTCCTTGCGCACAGACGATGCACTGGCACCACCTCACTGCAGCTGGTGTTTTGTCCGACCCCGCATGATTGATTTAGCTGGATTGGTGGTTCTAATTCCGTGTTTGTCGTATTTAGATGGGTTAAGTGTCTGGGGTTAATGTTTCTATATAGATGTTGTTTGTCAGATATATTGACGCGTGAGAGCATCTGTTAAAAGTCTAAGAGGTAGGAAGGTGGAACGTTTAATGGTGATCACCTTCTGAAAGGCCAATGCTGAAGTGTTTTAAGACCGCTGATGAATTAGATGCCTGACGTTCAACAATCATGATGATGTATCGATGATGTAATATCAACAACAAATACAACCTGTGTCCAGTGTACGGTGTTTTAGTTTTGTCTCTGACTCGCTCTCCATCAGCAGATGTGTCCGGTCACGGTGTTGTAATTTGTCTCTGACTCGCTCTCCATCAGCAGATGTGTCCGGTGTTGGTAATTTGCCTGTGTCTGGTGTTGTAATTGACCTGTGGCTGTGCCCGATGTTGTAATATCCCTATGTCCAGTGTGCGGTGCTGTAATATTCCTGTGTTTGGTGTTCGGCGTTGTAATATCTCTATGACTCGCTCTCCGTCATCAGATGTGTCCGGTGTTGTAATTGACCTGTGTTTGGTGTTGTGTTCGGTGTTTGGTGCTGTAATTTGCTTCTGACTCGCTCTCCGTCACCAGATGTGTCCGGTGTTGTAATTTGTCTGCGTCCGGTGTTGTAATTTGCCTGTGTTCCATGTTGTAATTTGCCTCTGACTCGCTCTCCGTCACCAGATGTGTCCGGTGTTGAAAGTGGCCTGTGTTCGGTGTTGTAATTGACCTGTGTTTAGTGTTGTGTTCGGTGTTTGGTGTTGTGATTTGCCTCTGACTCGCTCTCCGTCACCAGATGTGTCCGGTGTTGTAATTTGCTTGTGTCTTGTGTTGTATTTGACCTGTGTCCGGTGTTGTAATATCCCTCTGACTCGCTCTCCGTCACCAGATGTGTCCGGTGTTGTAATTTGTCTGTGTTCCATGCTCTAATTTGCCTCTGACTCGCTCTCCGTCACCAGATGTGTCCGGTGTTGCAGGCACCGGCAAGCTGGGCTTCTCGTTCGTGCGTATCACGGCTCTGCTCATCTCGTCGAGCCGGCTGTGGATCGGCACAGGGAACGGCGTGGTCATCTCTGTGCCGCTGAACGCAGACGGTGAGCCCTCGACGGGAGGGGGGGGGGATTCAATCACAGGCTCCGGCATAGCAGCGAAGCGTCCAATCTGTACTACTTGTCGCTTCCTGTTTCATTTGTCGAGGTTTGCGTTGTGGTGATGTGATGTTGGTATGTGGTAACTTTGGACTCGCGTGTTATCGACCCGGTGTTGTAGTTTTTAGCTCCAGTCAAACAGTGATGTGATAAGCTCCGGGTAGGTGGGGCACAATCAGGGCCGTGATACTGTTGGAATGGCAACAGTTTGGACGCCGGTCGGTACTTTGGCGTCGCTATAACATTCAACGAATCCCTAGGTATCTGTCTTTCCACTTACGTCATTGGTGGTTACCCCGGTATTTGAAGCTAGTTATAACGTTACCCTGGTATTTGAAACTGGTGATAACGGTATTATAGAGATGGGGCTATGCAAGTTGTCAAGATAACAGCGCACTATCTCTAGAGGCATAACTAATCCGGTTTCTATGTTTTTCATGCTTTATGTCACGCATATATTGCCATATGGGGTACTGAAAATAATGGTGTATCGAGTATCGACGGTATGGTTTGCAATTGGCGTTTTGTTTGATATTGGCATTCTTTAGTAATCTCTGTTCGATCATAAGTCTATATGTCTAGTCATTCTTCAGCTATCGCATACAGTCACGGAGGGGGTTGATGTTGGTTCGTGTTCCAACTCGTATGGCTCGACTCATATCATTGACTGATAATCTGAATTGGATCACGTGCCGACAGTCATATCGAGCGTGGCTGACTAGAGGGGAGGGTGGGGCGGACTTTAAGTTCTTGGTACGGGCGCTATCCGCAAAAGACAGACACTTCCCCTTGTCGCTGTCTCATTGATATAGTCGCCCGTGTAAACTTGTCTGATTGCCTGTCAATGAATCGGGCGGAAGCGGTGTGATTGAGCGATCGATTGGTTCGTCGTTGCCGCAGGACAATTTATGTATGTTGCGGGCCAAGTGCGAAGGCTAGTCCATTCGCGAATGGCCTAGTCCAAGTGCGATAACGCACTTGGACTAGGCCGTTTGCGAATGGACTAGTCCATGTGCGTTATTGCAGTTGGCCTAGGCCGTTTGCGAATGGACGGGCGTTTATGCTCCCAGTCCAAGTGCGAAGTCAGGCCAAGTGCGAAATATCCAGCAAAGTGACGTCAACTTGGCAAGTCAACTTGGCATGTGCAAAGTCCCGTGTGAAATGATGCGTGCAAAGTATTGGTAACTCAACCGGCGTCACTTAACCTGGCCTGGTGACCTGACCTTAGGTCATCTGGAGTCAGCATTTTCACAAAATGTGCGCAGAATATGGGAGAATAGGTATACAAAATTTGGCTTTGCTGCGCGCCGCCGTTTTCTCGTGATCTGTGAAAAACCACAGGGGGGTTGAAAGCAACCCCCCTGCAGTGCGCGTATTGTTAAATGCAATGCAACACAACAGTTTTTCGAACACTCACCGCACCGCACTCACCACACACAAGCCGCAACGTCCCGGTACACCACACCAGAGCAGAATGAATCGAGCGCCACAAACTCGACCAAGGTCAGGTCGGGTCATCAGCGGGGAGCCCGGAGCACGGTACTAATGGTCTCCGCACACCACGCGACTCTCCGCTGTTCGAAGGTCACGGGGATATTTGACCTCCCCAGATCCAGATCGGTGGCCGAAGCCTGGCCAGCGGCAACACGTTGCTATAATTTCCGCGTTGTGCAGGGTTCAGCGGAAAGTCGCATCCCGAATGGACCAGGTGTGTGGAGACCTTAACCCAGAGTTGCGCCAGCTCGCAGATCTACTCCGGAGAACAAACTAAACATGTAGACGCAGTGGCGTCGCCACGGATTTTCGACTAGGGGATCTGGTCGGACGGTCAGTCAAAGTAATCCCCACCAAATACTGAAAACTCCTGGGATTTAGACAATTTTATTTTGAGAATGCACCAAAATCGTTTTTAAAATATTTTATTTTATTATTGATCGATTTTCGTGGCCAAAAGTGTGTGTGTGGGGGGGGAGGGGCCGGGGGGCGTCGGACCGGCATATTTTCAAGAATGTGTGTGTGGGGGGGGGGTCCGGACCCCTCCGACCCCCCCCCCCCCCCCGTCGGCGACGCCCCTGCATCGACCAGCGGTCCCCCATTCATTCGGAATCGTACCCCAATCCGAGGATCCATGCTTCCGGCGGCTAAGTGCAACGCCACAAACCCGTCCGTTCGCAAACGGCCTAGGCCATTCGCGAATGGCCGGCCATTCGCAAACGGACTAGTCCGTTTGCGAACGGACCGCCATTCGCAAACGGCCTAGTCCATTCGCGAATGGACTAGTCCGTTCGCAAACGGACTAGCCTTCGCACTTGGCCCGTAACATGTATACGGCAGGCACCCAGACCCAAGATTCATTCCATTACTGAAAAAGAATGATTCAGCTGAGACCAAGCATCTATTCTCATTGAACTCAATTTTACGTTTCTCTATTCTTCACTTGCCCTTACAGCATCGTGCAGCATTGATAACTTCGAACCTTACACGTAAAATTACACGTAACCCTTGGGTTACGTGTAATTTTATGTTATAGGTACATCTGGTATGGTAGGGTCCTATTTATCGTCATCACGGAATATATAGTCTACGACATGGAATGGACAGGAGCTTCGATTAGCATTGCCACGTGTGTAACCAAAAATCAAGAATTTTGCCGGATGAATATCCGGAGATGCGGAGGATGCGGATGAATTTCTTTCCACGTGGGTTTACATTTTCATATATTTTCTTAACATTTTAGACATTTTATACATTTTTTCTTAACAATCGTCGAATGATTCGTCTTCAAGGGCCAAGTTGTGACTGTGACTTTGAAATGGTAACCGTATATTTTTTTTGGAAACTTTTAGCACACATTGTTACGGGAGCATTTATACATATTCATTGCATTACAGTTTTAACATTGGTCTAAAATTAAATGAAATTCGATGAAATTCGTCTAAAATTTGATGAAGATGAGGAAGTGCGAGCACTCGCGCTCTACTTCCAGGGTCCCAGGACTATATATGGCCTTGGTCCCAGGGCGTATCGGTTCCTACAAAAACGGTACTCCTTCCCCATCCTCGAACTCTGCGGAGGAAGATGGAAAAAATACAGATGCGACCTGGCTTTCATGACGCTATCTTGGCTCTCATAAAAGAGAAGTTCGCCGGAGCAAGTGCCAAGGACAAGCTGTGCATCATTTCGTTCGACGAAATGCAGCTGAAACCAAGGTTGGCCTACCAGCGGGGTGATGACGTCATCGAGGGCTTCACTGATCATGGCTCTCTCTGCCGCGCCAATGCCTGCGCCGACCACGCCTTGGTCATGATGGTGCGGGGCGTCAGTGTCACCAAACGCTGGAAACAGCCCATCGGTTTCCGTTGTGCAGCAGCAGCTGTTAACACAGTGTGTCCAACGTGTAACAACAGCGGGATTCACTGTGCTAGCTACAACTTGTGACATGTCAAAGAACAACCAGGCGACCTACAGACTGCTCGGAGCTGCGGAAACCGGCTTGTTCACCGTGGACGGGCACGAGGTTGCTGCTCTGTATGACGTGCCTCACATCTTCAAATGCATACGAAATGCATTAATGAAATACGATATTGAAGTAGACGGTGAAGTAGCCTCTTGGAGTCATTTAGAAACACTCTACGCACTGGAATGCGCTTCTTCCCCACGGGCTGCTCCAAAACTAAGCCAGAAACACATCAGGCCAAACAGCTTTGAAAAATGAAAGTCAGCTATGCCCTACAGGTGATGAGCCGGACAGTAGCAGCAGCAATCACATTGCATGCGACCCACGGCAAGCTCCCGCGCACTGCACTCCCGACTGCTGCTCTCCTGCTGCGCCTCAACGACCTGCTCGATGTGCTAAACTCTTCCGCCCGGTTCGACTCCTGCTCAAAGCGACGCGCGATATCCAGCCTCCATCCAGCAACGGCGGGAGAACACATGCAGTTTCTTCAGGAGAGCGACGCCTGGCTGCAGCGGTGGACGGTCGGTGGCGGCGCCAGCATCGACTCCATTCGAGGACTGCGACAGCCGACAAACGATAAAAGGCGTGGTGAAAATCTAGGACTTGTGTCAGGCTGCTGGGTGCACGTTCCTGTGCACTCGCCGCTTAAACCAAGATCCAAGCTACTGAAAATGAAAGAGTTTATCTCGGCAAAAATATATATTAGGCACATATTAGGCCTGTGTACCTACTTATAATGAAGAAACATTATGACAACGTTTGAAACGTTTAACACATCCCCTCCTCTAAATGCATTTATGAAACGTGAGTGGGCCAATAAAGGCAACTAGTTTTAACTGTAACAAAAAAGCACTTCTGGGCACGTAAATGGGGTAAATGTGGTAAAATTCACCACCCCATATCGCCTCTACCGGACACCCGTTTTAACCCCCAAAGGACATTGGCAATAGAGCAGAATCGTTCATGTTTATCAAAACAGCCGGCAACTTTCTATCGAAGCGAAAGGTTGGCTAGGACGAGAGTCATTGCTTTCACTGACTATAACAAACCTACTCGAACGGATTTTCACCTAGGAAGTTGCCAAACGAATGTTGAAAAATACATCAGCACCATGAAAAAACCTTACCCACCATCCTCAGCAACGCCGCCTCCCGCTGGCGTCCACCGGAAAAGGGCGGCAAACGAGCGAAGTTTAAATTGTCAGAAGTGATTCCAGACAACAACACCTGATAAGAATAAAATGCACCTTCTCATATTGCCCCGGTACCCCGTTATGCCCCACCTTCCCCTATTAGTTATAGGTCTGGCAACTATACTTTCATCCTCGTAAAGGAAGTAACCACAGCGAATCCGCACGACTAAATCATCAGGTCGCCAAAAACTCGGCAGTTACAGGAAATCTCGATCTTGTCCATTCCATGTCGTAGACTATATATTCCGTGTCGTCATGTAGTAACTATGCAGTTAGGTATCTCGTATATCTCGCAGTGGATACGACCTTGACCTCACCGCCCCGGTGTTCTTTGTTGCGGCAAGTACTTTTTATCTTTAAATGCCCGTTGAGTCGGACCCTTCTTGTGAGCTTTATCGCATTATGCTATCTCTTGAAATATCATTCATGCTCATGTTAGTCTTAAAACATCAACTTTGTTGAGTCACAGTTAAGGTCTCTGTTTGTGGTGTACGCACTTTGTACGGACACAATGTCGGGTTATTGAAAGGTTGTACAAGCACTGATAATTCTTCTTGCCCTCACCTGTCTCCCCAAGCCCTCCCTCTGACTTTTCCTCCTCTCCTCTCCAAAGACTCGGTGTCTCAACCATCACCTGATGACCTGACCTCGACCCCTTCTCTCCCCTCTGTAGGCTCGCAGTCTTATTCCCACCTGACTCTCCTATCCCCTCTGCAGGCTCAGCGTCTCGACTCTCACCTGACCTCCTCTCCTCTCTGCAGACCCGGCGTCTCGACCCCCACCTGACCCCAACCCCTCCTCCTTTCTCTACAGACAGGGCATCCCGAGCCGACCCCCCACCCGACTCTCCCTCTTCTCTCCACAGGCTCGGCGTCTCGGCCGCCGGGCGGTGCTGGTGGTGGCGGCGCCGGCGCCGGCGCGCCCCGTCTCCCCGGCGGCGTGGTGCGGGTCTACTCGGACGCTCGCGGTGAGCAGCTCACGCCGGCCAGCTTCATACCGTACTGTCATATGGCGCACGCGCAGCTCAGCTTCCACGGCCACCGGGACGCCGTCAAGTTCTTCGTGGCCGTGCCAGGTAAGAGGGCGGGCCGAGATTGGGAGAGGAACTCGTAAGGGGTGACCCGTCTTCATGCGAGGGCATACTTGAATCATGGATCGGTTGGTTGAAGTGGTTGAATAAATTTTATCAATGAACGGGTTTTTAGTATAATTATAGAAATGTAATTCCCCTTCATGACTGTTCACTTTATGTATGTAATTATGCTCTGCTGAATAATTAATGCGCGAGTGTTGTGTAATGCTGCTCCTCATATTGTGACCGGGTGGATCCCCTGTGCCTCCCTGTTATGTGTAGTGTGAGGCCCTGGAGTGTAATGTGAGGCCCCTAGTGAGGCGCCCTAGCGAACCCTGGAGTGCTGTTCGTCCGTGGTGACGGTTCATTTGACCGTTGGAAAGTCGTTGGAGGCGCCAGCTCAGCCCTGTGATCCATTACACTCGTACTGCGCAGTATGGTGCAGGTGCTCGTTGCTGATGCATCGTTTGTCGGGTGCAAATGACCAAATGCAACCGTGACACCGTGCCAGCGCTGAATAGTGCCGGGTGCTGCCAAGTATATGCAGTTACTGCGGGCCCGATCACGTTTTCACATAGCGTTTATTTACAATCATCCCCTGTCCCGCCAAGCCCCTCTGACATCGAAACACTTCTTCACGGCACCTGCATGATGCAACAAGCATCAGACTCCTATTGAATCGGGACAGGTGAATGTCATACTCTCACGGCTGCTACCCTTCCAGTCTGAACATCCAGGTTGAGATTCTCTGCATTTGAAATCATCAGTCTCGTCAATATAGAAAAGTGTTCCACCATTTTCCAGCTAGGAATCGCAGCTGGTGTCTCAGCTGAGAAACATATTATAATTGATCGTGGCATTGGACCCAGCTATCTCTATTCTATGGTGATTAATTTTTAGAACCACCTTGGCTTAGTGGGCTCTTTTGTCCGTTTTTCACCGTCACCGCCAAAGCCTCAGTGCTACACGGTTTGAAATTTGAATACAGTGCACAATTCACAGTACACCCATAGGGTCTGTGTCCATTATCAGAGCCGTTGCACGCTCATGGACCATGCATGATGATTCACCCCTCCGGTGTGTTTGTTTATCTTTGTGCAGGGGCTGGTAAAGCTGCAGCTGCTGGCGGGGATGTGGGTGCGGGTAGGTCCCTCCGTCGGCCCGACACTGACTGTCTCGGTGTTCTGTGGGTTTTGCGACTGTATGTAGGGGTGACAGCCATTGTGACAGGGACTCACAGATCGGGGCTACAGGAAGTGAAGATTGAACGACTCCGTGACTGACGTGTGCATGACCCCGCAGTCGTCAGGCCCGTAAACCAATCTATGACTGACACATGCGTTACGACTGTGAAATTGGCGATGAAGTAGGTGCGACATTCACGCCGGTTTGACAGGAAATTATGTAGTCAACATTTGACGTGTGGGGGGGGGGAGTAGGAGATAGGCGGGCTTAGATCCATTTTGCCAGCTCATTATGACCAGCTTTGCTTCGTCGTATGCGAATTTAATGATCATGTCAGAGAGCACGAATAAACATCTTGACATCCGACGAAGGCGATAAATGCTATCAGTTTCTCCGTGTGTGGAACACTGACGTTGTGACTAGTTGTACAGACCACGGCGTTGTCTCTTCGAGCACTCCACTTAATATGCTCAATATTTTCATGGCTAAGATCTAACCATAAACTGAATGCTGGTCTCATGACTTGATCAGTTTGTTAATATTTCAAACGTGCAATCACCCTTATCTGCGGTGCTATATGATTAAAGCACTCAATGAATCACCTTTGGCATTTTGTTCGATAAAACAATCCTGCTTAGCTGCTTGAAATGCGTATCCTCATTTTTGATTGCTCATTTACTGATTCCGGTACGTCTGTCACAGTCTTGACGTCTGTCACTGCCGATTAATACCTCTCGCCCCCCCCCCCCTGCTACCTCCTCTCCCTTCCGTTACCCTGCCATTCACGTTCCCTATGCCCCCTATCAGTTAGCTGTGTGTAATGAATTCAGCGCCGTGCGTCTGTCTCCCAAACCAGTTCCACTCGTAGTACTACCGATGACAGGCTGTCTGAGGGGATAGGTAGGTGTGTCAATGTCAATGAAGGACGAACCTCGGTCAAACAGAGGCGTCTGTGAGGTAGGTCGGGGGTAGAGTACTCGTGTACCGGAAGGGGGATGGAGGAAGAGTAGGGAGTTCTAAGGAGGACAGCCCAGCTACGGTGGGTATTTTTGGGACTGAGTGCAACGCGTCAGCCTGAGCGGAAAAAGCAGCACAGCTCGCTGCGAACTGCTCGGGTCAGGACGGGACGGGCTTGGACACAAATTGTGACGCCAGTGAGTAATATGTAACGTAACGAAACGAGCGATTATACACCATCGCGTCACCTCCCCTCGTCTCGGCCCGGCACGGTCCGTCCCCTCGACTCATCTGAAACCGAAGGCGCGCGGCGGGACTCGCGGCCAACTGACTGGCCAGAGGGGTGGCTACCGGGCTGCCCGACGAGGGATGATTCAGACAGGGGGACGATTACGATCGGTGTCCTAGGTCAGTTACTACGAGAGTCAAGGTTACTATAGCGCAGATTTAGGTCACTGGGGTGGTAGTAGGGTAGAGAGGTGTTGCGAAAGGCGTTAGCGATTGGAGATAGGAATGTGTCATGTCGTGGATGGACGGTAGAGGAGCGAGGACATAAGGACAACAACTTGACTAGCTGAAGGCAATGCGCTTCCGTAGGCATATGACCAATAAATGCTCCTTGCATTCAAACGTCATTGCGATGGCTGCCCGAAGCGATTGCTGCCTATCAGCTGTGCTCAGTGTTTGATTAGGTAAAAGTAGTGCGAAATTGAAGCAATAAAGAGTTTCAGACGGCATTGCCGGCAAGATAGTCGTTTCCGGGACAATGAACACGATAAGTCAGTGGGGACGCCAATGCGGGTCTGAGCTCGTGATGCAAGGGACACACTCATGACGAGGAAAGTCGGGACGGAACGCTCGAGGGTCGGACGGATGCGGGCCGAGATACAACGGGGGTAGCGTTATTCACCAAGGGGGAGGGGGTAAGACGCTTGGTGACCAGCATCCGCACCCGATATGGGTTCCGGAAGGGGAGCGTCAGGGACCGATCATCGCAGGGTGGTTTGTGATTCAGCGGCGGTTGTGACTGGCGACGCTCGTTGATGGGGCGGTCCTTCCTCGTTGTTGGAAGTGGTGCTGTAGGTCAGGGATGCGAGTGCAGATGGCTGAGACTGAATTACGCCGCTTGTATTGGATGAGGGGTTGTCTCTCAGAGTTGCTCACCGATGAGGAACACTATATCAACTTTGGTGGTTTTGTAGTGTTTTCTGGCTCTCATCCCGCAATTTCCGTCGATGCACAATGTGAAAGCCATGGTAATGTAGGAAATGGTCATCTGCCGGCCTCCAACTGGCGGTTACCGTCCGCTGCTGCCGGCCCTGACCGTGGCCGGCGCCCGTGCGGGCCGCGTATTGGCTGGAGGCCGCGCCGGGCAGCCTGCGGCGCTGTCACTTGACCGGACCTGACCTGACGAGGGGCGAGCGGAGTCCCTCGCCGGGATTCTGATGTGAGCGGCGGCCCGCGCCACGAAAGTGACCTTTTGTTAGCACATTGCATCAGCTTTGTTATGGTAAGGCTGTACTGTTTGTGGCTTTGTATACCATGACACTGTGGCGTGGTTTGTACCCGTCATTTGTTTGTCCTTTTGCATTGACGTCACTCTCGGCGTCGTGACACTCGCCTGATGACTGATCGGCCTACTTTTCGGAGCGAATGTCAGGGATTGTTAACCTTGCATTAAAAATTGATGCGTTATCTTTCAAATAAGTCGAGGCATCCTTACGACTGTTCATCCTGAACTTTGATCACGGTAATCAGCACCTGCAGGTAGCAGCAGCAGCATTGAGACCATCCTGACGAAAAGGCCACAAATTACTAGAAACTAGAAAGGTCTATCGATGCAGTACGTCTCCCGTGATCCCCACTCCTTGTGACGCTCCTTCCGTGACACACCTTCTGTGACACCTCTACCTGTCTGTGACAACTCCCTGTGACACTTTGACACTTTGTCTCCCTGTGACACTGCCTCCCTGTGACACTTGTCTCCTTCTCCGGCAGGCTCGGGCGGCCTCAGCTCCGCCTCCCAGACCGCCTCGACTGCCGGCGGGTCGGCCGCCTCCTCCGCCTCCGAACAGAAGCCGCGCTCACTACTGGTCATGTCTGGAGGCGAGGGCTACATCGACTTCCGAATCGGTCAGTCCGCCGCCCCCGCCCCCGCCCCCGCCGGGGCGCCGCGTCGGGCGACACCAGGTGTGCAGGCCGCCCCCGTCTGACGCACTGGCTCGCAGCTTTGCTCACTGACTCACTCGCTCGCTGCTAACTGTGTGGCTCGCAGTCCGGACCCGCGGGTAGCTGTCGCTGAGCCGGAGGCTCCTCCAAAGTGGAGAGTCTGGCGGGGCGGCGCTGCGCGGGTCTGGACGAGCTGTTACTAACCCCGGGGGCGAGGTTGTAGTGACTAAAACCTTGAGACTAAACTACAATAATAGACTGAGATACGCATTCAGAAAAGAATTCCAATCCAGTGGTATCCTGGCCATCTAAGGCTGACCAAGCGTGGACATCAGCGTCCCATGTCCCCAGCTGAGATCTCGGTTGTCTCCTGCCTAACATGGTATTAACCCGATGGGCGTCACAGCCTCCCCCGCTCCTTTAGGTAGCGTGCTGCATTATTTGCACTGCAGCAGACCCCTTGTGACGTCAGACGGGGGCGGTCCGCCTCGCCGGTCCATTGGCGCTGTGTGGGGTGATGTGTGGCAACCGCTCAGCCTTCTGGACTCCAGTCTTGCTGAAATCAGACTTCTCTAGACTAGACCCATTAGAGGTAGTCTGGGGCTGCTTTGGGGTGTGTCGTGTCCCTCTGTTTGTGGGCGTGTGTCCTCTACTGGGCGTGGCCTGGGAAACGGGCGAACATCTACCCCTACGCTACGGCAGCCGCGCACTGACACGTTTCTTGTCACCGTAACATTCAAGGTTCGTCACGTTTTACTTGTTGCCATTTTGATTGAGCTTTGGAAATTCACAAACTTTAGCTCGATTGTACGCCGCGCTGCCAAATGAGGGTGTAGATGTCCGCTCTTGTGTGTGTCGGGTCTGCCGGGGTCGGGTCCATAGCCTCTGCTCGGCCGGGGCCGGGTCCATAGCCTCTGTGTGTGTGTTTCGGCCGGGGCCGGGTCAGGGGTTAGCCCTCGGGCGGGTGGTGACCGGCCGCCGCCTGGCGCTGCTGTGTCGCCCAGATGAGGACGCGCAGGAGACGGCCAGCCACCTAATCATGTGGCAGCTGACTGACGACGTGTGTCACGTGACCTCTGACGTCACCACCCCACCACCGACCGACGGGCGGGCGGCCGAGGCGGCGGCATCATGTAAGCAGCGGCTGCGCGGTGCCGGGTCTCTGCACACGCTGTTCAGTATAGGCAAATGTAGGCGAGCACATGCCTACCGATGCCCGATGGTTTGGGTTACTGATCACCCCCCCCCCCCTCGACCCCACCCGTCTTTACCCACATTTGTCACTCGGCACAGTTGAGGGTTACCGATTCCTTCCTTACCAATCCTTTAGTGTCAGTTGATTGAACTGCTGACCACTGTCTGCACGATATTGGTCGCAGTATCTTGATTGTTCCTCTTCTGTCAAGTCATGATCAATTGGTCGTTCATGAAAAGTGTTAGCTCATTGGACCGGCCCTTCAAGTGTCTGATATTGATAAGTTATCAGCAACATTCCCAGTAAGCCACTTTATCATTCCTAGCTTTCGAGAGATGAAAAGGCTGGTGTCTAGTTCCCGTCTCAACCCCTTCCTTCCTCTCCCTGCCTGGGTCCCCTGCCCTCGATCAGGGTACAAGACACGAGTGTAGTCTGTGGATTTGCCCCGGGCACCAATTCACCTCGACCCCTGCACCGCTCGCTGCTTGCTGCATACGCCGCCCGGCACAGTCTCTCTCCTGATTCTCTTTTATATTTCCCTTTTTCTGATTTGTCTTTTTCTCTTCCTTCTTTGCCTGAGCCTTCTGCTGCCTCGCCAGTTTGCGTTTTTACCGTATGATTAGTGAATCATGTGCTGTTTGCTTTGTTACTTGGCTGGTGACTTGGCGTCTTCCCGGCTCTTGCTTTTTCATGTTTTCTTAATCGCTGCAAGCGGCTTCACCGGAAAACGTTGCAGCTGTTCGCTACAGTGCTCGACTTCCGCTGATATCAGGAACACCGCGCGTTGTGAAATTTCCCCTAGCTTCACGCGCGTTTCCGATGTGTACTTCACACTCGACACACCAGCTAGCTCGGCTGCTCACTCCACGGACTTATTCCTTCTTAGATCGAAGACTCGCTGACTATGTATAAGAAGTTTTTAAGGTTCTAAATTACCTGTTTCCAAAAACGAGTCACTCCTTCTTTGAGACTGTCATGTATTTCCCCCCCCCCCCTTTCACATTTTTGTTGCTTCCTTCTAATGTTACCACTCCCTTTATCACAATATTATTTCTGTTTTTTCAGTTTACTGTCTATTCTCCGCCTTATTTTTCCCTTGCTGGCTTTACTTTTCCGTTATGTTACACTCACTGGGTCTGGACGGGAGCATGGTCGGTTTCACCGCACGCTTCTCGCCCTGTGGTGGCCACTTAAACCTGACTTGACTGGACTTGACCTGACCTGACCTGATCTGACCTGACCTGACCTGACCTGACCTGACCTGACCTGACCTGACCTGACCTGACCAGACCAGACCAGACCAGACCAGACAGACGTGAATCAGTCGTGATCGATTGACCTTCCCTGACCCGACAGACGACTATTCGCGTTAAGTTAGACGCTGACGTGCCCACGTCTACGCGAATGACTCAAAGGCCAGTTGGAAAACAACACCTTGTATTGGATGACCAGCAAACGCAGTGCATGGGCTGGATGATGTCTTGATGGCAGGCACGTAAGTCGAAACATCTCACTGGAATGTCCAGGATCCGAGCACACGATTTTGCATTACTCTGGATACAAAACGACTGGTAATATGGTTTGGGAAAGGTTTGGGGTATAATCTAGTGTCTACATTTATATCGAACTTTGTGCGGGACTGTTGCCCTTTGCTATCATTATCTTGCCACTATTTGCTGACATTTGAGGTGTAATTCCTTTGAAATTACTCCTCGTTAATAATGCCGACGTCTACGTCAATGTATGCTCCAGTCTGCAGTCAAGTTCAGGGTACATAGAACATCATCAAGTTAAATGATCGAATCTCTACTTTCAGCTTGCATGAATGAGTCAAATCGACCTAACATTGCAGTGAGTTCATTGTTGTTTGCAGGGTAAAGCGACAGAGCCCATTGGTCCGTGATTCCCATGTCTGAACTTTTGACGATGTCCTCAATGCAGTCTATTGTTGCTCAATGGTGTGGTGCCCAGTGACCTTGATGAGGTGCTCTGCGGGGCCCGGACCATGTTGTGTAGTGGCGGATGACCCTGATTTGTTGCCAAGATGAGAGAGTCCGTGAGTCTCAGAGCTTTAGCCTTGAATCTTGATAGTTTATCTGCCACCGTCAATCAAGGAGCTGATTGTTGGTGGGTATCAGGGATCAGCTGACATCGAATGATCTGAATTGAGAGGTCTCAGATGATCAGGGGACCACATCGCATTTGATGGCATTTCGCACACAAATGTCCACGGTTGCGGCTCCGTTCTCCAAGCGGTTAGTGCTGGCTTTTCTCAACAGATGGCGCCATTGGTACCGTGCGTGCGTGATTGCGCAACTCCTAGGTCACATGTATCAGACCCACAGATGTTTCGATTTGTGTTCGCTTATTCACACTACTGCGAACAATGACTTAGCCAAATGAAATTTTCGTCAGCTGACCGTGGTATGTTCCGAACAAAGTCCACGTCAACGGCAACATGTCGGTGCAACGCTGTATGAATCGTGTTTCCTGTTCAGCGTTCAATTCGGTTTCCTTGTTTACATCGTTGCAATCTGTACCTTGGTTACATCTCTTAGACTTTGAAGTTTGAACGTATATCGCGGTGTACCTAGCAGAGGTCTGTTCATCGTCCAACTTACATCACTGGCTGCTGAACCAATCAGAACTCATCGTCAGCAGTAATCGATGTCGACTCATCTCAGCGGACTCATACAGCCTCCTGCCTGTTGGAGCCTGTCTCTGAGCTGTCTCATCTCATCTCATCTCCCGTTCTCTCCCCAGGGTGTGTGGGATGATTCAATGGGATGATTCGTCTGCCAAGCTGCGCTCCTACGCACGGAGCGGTGGGACAGAGAGATTTGTGGGAGTGGTAGGGGACGGGCGAGGGGCTCACCCAGCGCCGTGACCCGAGTAGTGTCACGCCAAGACCTGTCGGGAAGAATCGTGGATCGAGTCATCAATGGCTAGCAACGTCGTGTTACATGCATCACTGAAGGGTGCTTATTCAGCAGCTTTTACGGTTTAGCATGCTCTGGAAAACTGCATGAGACTAACGTCTCTTCTGCCTTATGGAACTTTGCCGAAGTCTTGGGGTTTGTTTACCTCTCTTAGTTTGAGATTTGCTCAACTGATTCGCAGGTTTTGTTGTTTTATCGTCTGGAAATGCACACTTGTAGCGATGGGCGCGGATGGTGCTGCGCCAGGAAAACGGAAATGACTTGTGGTCCACAATTCGCTGTCGTCTAACCATTTCTCGTTGTAGCGTCACCGGACTGTCGAGATGCCCGCCTCCCATGTCTGGTTCACAGCTGGCACAGTTCTCACTCTCCTCAGAAGCTGCCTTTCTACGGCTTCCAAGCCGTAAAGTCGGCAGTCTAGCGAGTTGCAGCCTGTCCGAGGCTTTACAGGTTTCGGGCACGTCTGAGCCATGACCGGCCCAACGGTTCGTGTTCGACCCTGCACTAACGGTACTGGGTCTGTTCAGGCAGTGGCGGATCTAGGATTTGAGTTTAGGGGGGGCAAACATTGCGCCGCCAGGCAAGTCGGCGAGAATTTCAAACGTCCAGTCTTAGGAACAAAAAAAAAACGAGCTACCCCTATTTTTCTCCTCGGATTTCGGGATTTTTTTTTTGATTTTTTACATTTTTGTCAGTCCGGCCAAGCCAGGGCAGCGCAAAAAAAAATTTGCAGCCACCCTGACCCCGGGAGATAGTTAGAGAATAGCTCACCGGCGCTATGGACGGTCCGTCCTCTACCTCCCGCATCACTTCGGCAAGACCTCGTCCGA